TAAGGAACATTTGAATTATGTCCTTGCCTTTAATTTAGAACCCATTTTTATTTTGGATTTTCTTGAAGATTTATTATTGAATGATTGATAATTTTACTAATTGTTTCTTTTCTTTATAAGTTGTTTTCAGTTTTAAGTATTTTAAAGATTATTTTGAAAAGTTTTTTGAGTAAGATAATTTGATCATTTTTGTTTGAGTGAGAGAGTTTAAAATTTTTGAGGTTTTTTATTATTGTGTGGTTAATTGGGAAAGGTACTTGTGCTGAGAGATTATGAATATGAAATTTAATTGTTTGAAGTATTTTGTGAAATATTGTGTCATTTTTACTGAAAATTTGTGAAGTATTTTACGAATTTTTGTTTTTGGGACTAATTTATTAAAAGTTTTGATAATATTTGAATTAAAGAATTTCCAGGTTTTCTCAGTGTTGAATTCTTCAGAAGAGGAAAATAGAATGTTAGCAATAGTTGTATTGATGGTTTTCCAGGTTTTAGAAGTTATTTTGTTAAGGTTGTAATAAATAACAGATGTTTTTTTAAAAAGTTTAGAGACTAGAAAGTTTGAAAGTGTTAGTGTGATGATTTTGTGATTGCTATGAAATTCTGGTTTGATATTTATTGTTTGTGTTTTAATAGATTGAATGGCGATATTATTTGATATCCAAATTTAATCAATACGACTTTGGCCAGTAGGTTATGAAAATATATATATAGTTTTGTAAGAGAAGAAAAGGTGCAATATATTGATATAGTTTTGTTAAGTTTTTTGTAAATAAGTAATTTGTATTTTGGTTATCATTAATCAGTGTTTGGAAATAAGAAGTGGTTTTTTTCCTTGTATTTGAATCATAAAAAAGATAAACTTGTGTAATACAGAGTTTTATTTTGGATTTGAACTGAAAAAAATTGAGATAATATACTCTTGAAGTTTGATAGTTTTGTAGAAATAATTAGAGAGGTTTTTGTTAAGTATTATTAAGACTTCTGCTTGACTTTGATCAAGGTTACTTGAGTGTATAATGAAGTCTTCAATGGTGTACATAATTTTTTTGATAGTTTGGAGTTTTGTTTTGGAGATTCCAAAGATATTATAATTGTTATTTTTTATATATTGGAGAAAATTAAGTCCTCTTGTGTTGAGGAAACCAATTTTCAATAATTGTCATTTTGTGTTGGTGAGAAGTTTGTTGAATGTAATTTTTAAGAGATCTTTTTTAATCGAAAATTTTTTTAATAATTTGTTTGTATTAATCATTGTTTAAAAAAGTTAAAGAATTTTGTAAATAGTTCAGGAAGTTCGATTTGGATAATAAATTTGTTGGGAAGCTTTTGAAAGGTGAAGTGTTATCTGAGTTTATGAATTTTTAAAATGAAGTTAGCATCATTAACTAGGGGGATATCCATTTCAATTTTGTTTTGGATTAAATAATTTTTTAGTTCAAAGGGGCTTGGAATGTAAGGTTTCCATTGGATTTGGATCCAGTTGTTTGGAATTTTGGAAAATTGATAATGTTAATGTGTTTTGATTGTATTTTCTTTGAAAAGTTTTTTGTTTGTTATTAGAAAGTTAATATTGGCTTTTTAATTGACAATGTTATAGTTCTCTAAAAGAGAAGATTTAGTTGGAAATATTTGAAAGTTTGAGTTTGTATTTTGGTTTGTAATATTGATTCACTCTTTTGATAAAGGAGTTTGGAAGCTGAATTTTTTTGAGAGGCTGTTAAGAAGATATGGAATGTCAGCTGGATTTGTTACTGGCAAGGAGATATTTATTTTGAGATCGAGAATTTTGTCAGGTAATAATAGTAGCATTTTTCTAATATAGAAGAAGTCATTTGGTAATAGTTTGAAGTTGTAGGTTTTGTGAAGGAGTATAATTAGTTCTTGTATAATTATTGTGCTATCTCTAGAGTTAAAGGGGAAGAAGTTTAGATATTTAGGTTCCAACAAGTGATAGGTTAATAAGAGTGGTTTTTTTGATAATGATAATTCAAAGTAAGAGTTGGAAAGATTAGAAGAGACTTGATAATTTTTATGGAGATGGTCCTTTAGGTTGAAAAGCCTGATTATTTCACTATGTTTTTTGATTGAAAAAATTTCTCTGTATTTTGATAGGAAATCAGTGAAATTTTCAGATAATAAAGGATTGATTTTAAAAAAACTGTTTGGAAGTTTTTGAAATTGTAATGGAATTTTAGTATACATAGGATTGAAATGAGTTGAGATTTGTTTTGCATTGATAGATTGTATAGAAGTTTGATTTTTATATTAGTTAGAATTTTGTTTAGTGAAGATGGAAGTTCTGGAAATAATTTGTTCACTGATTCCTGAAGTTTATCTTTGAGAGTGATATAGTCAATGAAAAATTGTGATTTACAGATGAAGTAATTAATAAGATATATAAAGAGACTGGCTAATTCATAGAAGAGTATATTGTTAATATTAATAGTTCTAAGATAGATGATTGATAGAATAGTGCAAACAATCACTTGGATTTTTTTTTATTTCCAGATTAATAAAGTTGAGATTACATTCATTTTTGTATTTTTCTTGAAAGTCCTTTTCAATTTCATTAAATTTTTTTTGATAAGCTGGTTTAATTTCTGTTTTGGAAGTGAAAAAGCTACAGAAAATACAATCCTTGAAGTTAAGTTTATTGAATATATGTTGGAGAAGATATGGAGAGTATTTGAATAGTTCTTTAATTTTTATAATAATTTGAATAACTGTAGTTATATTATTTGGTGCTGATAAATATGAATTAGCTAGGAATTCTATTTCCTTACAGAGAGTGTTGTATTGCTTATTGTTTCAAATTTGTTGTAGTTCTTCCTGAATTTGGCAATTAAAGGATGATAATCAAGTGTTTGATTGAAGTGATCAGTTGTTGTTATTGGCAGATTTGAAGAGTTGATCAAGATTCATGATGTTTTCAAAATTAATATATTGTAATTAGTTTGTTAGTTTTATTTTACTGATATCCATTAGATTGAAAATAGTTATGGAGTTGTCAGATGAATTAATTATTGGTTGATGATTGGAGATGTTTGATTGTGAGGTGTTTGCTGAGGTAGGATTCCAATCAGAAAGTTTTATTGATTCATCACATGTTTCACTGATTTTTAGGATATTGCCATATTGGAGAGGGGCTGGAATAATAAATGAGACACTTGCATGTACTTATATTGTAATTGATTAATTGTCATTCTTTTTTTGAAGAACAAGAGAATTGATAGATGATAGATTATTTTCAGGGGGAAGCTGTATGGGGTTTTTTGTTTTTTCTTCAGAAGAAAGAAGAAATTATTGGAAGTGCTTATGGAGATCTTGATTGAGTTGGACTTTTTCTATTTCATTGACAATATTGGTAATGTAGTTAAAATCAAAGTTTTCAATTCTGGGTTTTGGACAATGGCTCTAATCATAGGAATTACATCTTTTTTAATAGCAATTTCTTCAAAAATAATAGTTTTAGTATCTTTGATGGTGTTAGTATTGAAAAATTTTTCTATGTTTTTCTCCTCTTTGATAACAAAAAAGCATTTGGAATAGTTGATAAGGTTGGGAATGGTGATAGTTCTGATATAATCAATTTTGTAAATTGCATTTGTTTTTAAGTCAAGATAGTAGATTTGAAGTTTGTGATTCCAGTCATTATGGATAATTGTGTAAAGAAATTGTATTTGATTTGTTGAAAAGATTGAGGACTCCATAGTGGAAGAAGTTGGGGTGTAAAGTATGCTTGGGGATACTTGAGAAGAAACAAAATGTTTGTTTTAAAGGTTATTACTATAAAAGAAAATTTTTTTGTTAAAAATTGATTTATGGGAAAGAGTTTTTTTGAATTAATTAATTTATATATGATAAGAAATATAAATAAGATATATAAATCCTATATATTTCATCTTATGCAAACTTTATTCAATGATATGATTAGTTATAGCAGAAAAAGCAAAGTAACAAGATATATTCTTTGATAACAGAAATAATCTGATACTTTTCATTTTTCTTTTAAACTGGTTTTGTTTTTCTTTAAAATCAAAGAAAAGTTTTATTTCAATTCAATAATAAGTTAATTTTATTGTTAATTATCTTAAAAATAATTGAAAAAAAGTGTTTTGAAACTATTTACTAGTTAAATAAAATTATAATTCCTTGGAGAACTGGCTAAAAAAGAAATTACCAAATAACATATTCATACTCTTTAAGATTAAAAATTTTCAAATATAAAGTTTCAAGAAATATTTTTCTAAAAATGTTTTTAAACATTCTTGATTAACAATTAGAATAGTAAAAATTGAATAAATATTTAGCTGCAGGTAATCAGACTAAAAATTATTTAAGAATTTTTATTTTATCAATACAAACTTATTATTTTTATTTTATTTTTTTATTTTATCTTTCTTAAAAAATAAAAATTTTTTATTTTCATAAGATCACAGCAGTTATGTAAAGGTAACAATCCTGAACAAGGGCTGGCTGTAATATTTTAGATTAATGAAAAGTACTAAAATAGAATTGAACAATTTTTTTTATTTTCTATAATTATATCTAGAAGCTTTAGGCTTGCATAGGATTAATAAACATAATGAAGTAAAAAAAAAAATTTAATTAATTTCAAGATCATGATCATATTATATGTGGCGCAATATATGTAAATAAATAAGCTATTATATAAGTGATGTCATCAACACTTGATTTTGAGCTTTCGTTTTTTATTATAGTGAGCAAGACATGATAGCTTTTTATTAGGGAACGCCTCCCGTTAGCGGGAGACACTACTCGACGTGCTTTCGATTTTTAATACGTGTATCCAATATGTGATGATCCCGATCAAAGTGCGAGCTAACCAAATTTGATAAATTAACACATGGCATTCTTTGTAGCCCCTGAGACGGTATACGCGTTATATAGGGAGGTACGCGTTTACGATTTTTGTATTTTTCTTGCACTTCAATAAAACCTTTAAACCTATATTTACCAATTTTTTTTTTATCAACATGTCTGAACAAAAATATCCAGGCTATAAAGAACTTACGTCCTATTTGACACGACATAAAAATAGGTCTTTATGGAGTTTTCTAATTCTTTATAGAGACGCTATTGTTGCCACTACTCCGGAAGATTCCTGTGAGAAGGATCTTGATAATCTTTGGGCAGGCCGTTTTACACAGGAAATAACCAAATTTGATACTACTTTGGGTAATAAGGTGTGTTTTTTTATATTTTGCGAAGTTAGGGCAACTCTATTGTTGATCATATGCTTGGCTTGGAGAACTACTGAGTATGACCACTTGGTATCCACTCCAAGTCCTCTATTCAGACGCTTTAACTTTGTCGTTGATAAAGGACTACTGATTTCAGAAGTGGGATCAACTATGTATATTCCTTTGGGGCATGTCGATTGTTATCTGATTTCTCTTCTCTATGCTATAACGCCCAAAATCATTTGACTTTGACATGCTCCTTATCACTAAATAAAAATTACACACTTTTAACAAATGCATTTCTTATTTCAGGTTGATCCAGAACGGAGGCGCCGCGCGAAAGACTTTGATGATTACTGGGATAGTATAATCTCAGAATGTAAAACAGTAAGTAAAACCACTTATTTTACATTTATATATCAGTCTTAATTTTATTCTTAATTATTCTTCTGAAATTAGAAAAGAGATTATCGATTACGAATTAGAAAAAGAGCGTATTCTGTGCGCATTATCCGAAATTAATAATAAGATACAAATGAAACATGAACTAGGAATTTAAGTAAATGGAAAATAATATCTGAAGATGTAAGTTCAAGTAATGAAAATCCTGGACATAATCTTAATGGTGATGATTATAACGGTGACAACGGCAGTGACGATAACGATGACAACGGCAGTGACGATAACGATGACAACGGCAGTGACGATAACGATGACAACGGCAGTGACGATAACGATGACAACGGCAGTGACGATAACAATAATAGTAATCACGATGACAACCAGCATAACTATAACTATAGTAACGATGAGGATGTAAATTTATTAAATGGAAGTTTATATTATATTCTGCTAATGTGGATGATTCTTCTGCGGATTTTTCTTTGGATACTTCAAGTGATTCTGGGAAGCCCAAAGCTCGAAAGGTTGTAAGAACGAAGGGTGCGCTACCATCCAGGATAAGAGGGAATAATCTTCGGGATATAGAACGTATACGTTATAATCGTAAAGCACCTTTGAGGAAGCGTAAAAATAAATCTGTAAGTGTAAATTAAAATATTAAATATTAGTAAAAGATCGCAGTATATAATTATTTACTTATATTCATTTATAGGTGTCACAAATACTGCCATCACGCTCACCACATTTATCCTCGCCTTCACGATCACCACTACCATCGTCATCTCTCCCATAATCACCGCTGCCAATACCACCTTCTCCACGGCTACTACCATCACCGTCACCTCCACAATTACATTATATAGATTCCTCTGATGAAGAGGTATGCTCTACTGTATATAATAATATAAATTAGATAAAATATTAACCGTGCTTTATTTATTATATAGGAGGGATTACCAAGAAAAAAGAGATGTTTGAGTTGTCCTCAACATTGCCCAGGACAAGAAGATACTTAATCCAAATGAATGGATTCGAAATAACGAAGGCACAAACTGACTCGTGCTAAATACATTATCGAAATCATGTGTTTGCGTGGGTCGATTCAATATTATGTTTTTTCGTGATCATATGGATTGCACGCTTCAGACAATAGTTGAATGTAATTCGATCATAACTATATTATACAAGCCCCAAGGGAGCAAGTAGGCATAGGAAACTTCTGTTCTAGTAAAAAAGCAAAAATTCCTGTTTGTCACTCCGCGTTCTCGACCAATCTGAATGCTTGATGTATTATCCTGTAATGTATTATGCATTACAGCAGAGATTTTTTTCCCAAAATAAAAAAGACATGAGGTGCTCTCTTTACCTTATGTATGCAACACCCCTACGGCATTTGTGTGGGTGAATTTATTGTGAATTTCATTCTATAATAATTTATAGTTTTGTTTAAGTAATCGGATTAATAAAAAATAAAATAAAATAAATATATAAATACACTTTGTATATATTGTATTATTGAAAATATAATTGATAAGTCTATTACTATATCATCATTACTAATTGTATAATATAAAAGAAATATTTAGATTTGATACAATATAAATATTTATAAAATAATTTATTTGGTTTTTTTTAGGACTAGGTGTGATACATTCATGGTTTTTATTAATCAATTAAGATCAAGTTATCTCAGTACATGAACAATCTATTAACTAATGCTAATTAACTGATGCTACCTGACTCTTTTTACCAAACTATCAACTTACATCCAGTAGATTGGTTAATGCCCTGGCTTTTATCACTATGGATAGTTTTACTAATTACCTTATATAAGGACCTATTACCTTGCAACTTATTCACCACCAACTGTAAGTGAATCAGTAAGCATCTCTTAATGCAAATATAAACTTCCTAGTAAATGCTTTGGTTAACCACTTGATTGATACTGACTACAAATCTAAAGGTCATTTTGATCAAAAGGATCACAATTCCTTAAGGAACTTTGTCTCTTAACCTCCTAGTAGACACTTCAATTGGACTGGTTGGCATATGCTATCAAATATAGGGGTATAAATATTAAGCAAAACGTAACTTCTATATACTTTGTCTTATCATATTATTGTCATGAAAGGTACCTGAGTTAGTACTGGTAAGGTATTCATCTTCAAGATCTTTTTATTTCAGTAATTAAGTCCAATTATTATAAGCAACTTTTGACAATCATCATGCTCCAACTGGATGATCATTGTACCACTGCACCTTTTCTAAAGATTACAATCTCAACGCCTACTGGATTAGTATATAAAATGGCTTTGCATAAGAAACAGTACATAACAAATTATGATATCAAATACTATATATGTTCTATTTGATTATCTTTATTTGGGATTGAACTGATATCCTGTGATTTGATCTGTGAAGTGTTAACCACTATACTATAGACCTATAGATCAAATAATTTATTTGTTTTTTTTTTTTTATAGTAGAACATACACAAGATGTGTGTTCTTTATTGATACGATATACAGTTCTGGCAAAAAAAAATGGCACTTATATATTTAATCATAATTTGATCAATTTTTATTAAAATTTAATAAAATTTTAATTACAACTAGCTAAAAATATAACTTATAAAGTGTATCATTTTTAATAATCAATTGTGTCACCCTTGCTTTGTATGACTAACTCTAACCGTCGCTTCATAGATTTTGCTAAATTTTGACATATAGTGACATCTATTTTTTGCTATTCCTACGCGATTATAGATATAAACATTTGCTGTGTCACTTTTTTTTTTCTCTAATAAGTGTACTTACTTCCTTTTTCACTTTTTTTTTCATTATTGCCCATAAATTCTCGATCGGATTTAGATCCGGTGACGATGACGGCCAATCAAGAACCCGCGGGTATCGTTTGTGAAGAAGAGCAATCGTAAGCTTAGCAGTGTGCTTTGGATCATTATCCTGTTAGAAGGTCCACACGCTGCCAAGCTTGTTATATGCTTGTTCGAACAAATTTTCTTGTAAAATGTTACAATATCGCTCGCCATCCATCTTTTCTGTAAAGGTATAAAGCCCTATTGTACCGCTTGCACAAAAAGCCGCTCAGACGTGAACTTTATAAGGATACTTAACCAATCCGTGACTTGGTCGTAGTTTTCCAGACTTGTATCAAACCTGCATTGTGTTACGAAACATCTGGAACATCGCCTCGTCTGAAAAAATAGTATTATTTCATCGTCTCCTCAAGTGTGATTTGGCCCACTCAAGCCGATGAAGCTTCATAGCTTTTGTTAAAAAAGGAATTGTACGGGGAACACAGACTTTAAAACCAAGTTTTTGAAGGTTATCACATATCATGCGTGGAGAAATAGTAAGATCCAGATAAGTTTTTTTGAGTACTTCTGTTAGTTCCAAGCTTGACACCTGGTTTTTTCTTGTGGCCATTAGACCAAGATGCTTCCGTTGTGCTGCATTAAGTCGACGCGGGTGGCCTGGACATTGCCTTTGCTTGAGATTACCTGTTTGGGCAAGTTGAGCAGCCTATCTGAATAGTGTTCTTCTTGGATATTGGATTATTTTTTGGAGTTTGCTGACTTTTTTATGTCCTTGCTTCCACAAAGACTTAACGACGAGACGTTTCTCTGCCAAAGTAACCATACGTCATATTAAGTAACACAAATTTTTTTTTTTGACTTTAAAATAATCAGTTATTAACTAAATTTGTCATTAGTGTAATGGGATTTGCGATCTAATTACTTAATTTTTAAAAAAATCAAGAGTGCCACTTTTTTTTGTCAGAACTGTATATCCAGATAGATACCAAGTGTCTCTACAAATTAATCGAAAATCGGGTAGTATATGAATATCCTTTATGTCTCTACAAATTAATCTGCAGATTAATACTGTCTAATACCTATATTACTATATGATTAGCTATGCCAACTTATACATTTATTTAAACATTACGAAGATATGCCACACATTAGGTGGAACTTTCGCAGGGGGGGAAATCTTACCACTAGTTTAAACCTGTCTAAACCTGCTGGTTCATTATTGCAGGGAGCAAGTTATTATAGAATATTATTATAGAGACTAACCCCAGTATTCTAGTCACTGTTATCACTGACCCTCAAGATATGCCACTAGCATATCATCGCATTACCATTTTCACCACCTGTGGAATTGGCATCTTTGCTTAGATTCCAATTTAATCTTGATGATCCTCACCAAACTCACTTGGTCTTAATGATTTTTGCCTGGATTGTTATTTTCTGTGGCCGATAACCTTTTGCCCTTTTGGTCCATTTAAGTTCATATGAACACCACTCTAGAGATAGATCTTTAAGCTCCAGATTGGAATAGATCAGTTTAGGATTAATCTCTTTTGGGTTGTGTGATAAAGTTTGCCATCACCAGTTTGGGTTGAGATTTTTTATGAGCTTTTACCAGAGTTAGACCAGAAGCCTTTCCTCATGCAACCTTTTGTACTTTGATCTGTTTTCAGTCCACAATTGTTGGGAAGACCAGAGGTCCCATCTTCATATAGCTTAATTGAATTTGGATACAATAAAGATTATTGGATACGACATATGCAGGATATTCAGTAAACCTATATATGAAAGTAAATGCGCTTTTTGCCCTCTGTGAGTATTGAACTAGTAACATGTATTTGGTGACCTGGGAGCACTACCCACTGTGTTATTGATCTACAGGTCTCAAATAATTTATTTGTTTTTATATATTATATATATAATATATATATAATATGAAACACTTGCTGTTGAAAAAATTTAATTGATTATTTTTTTTTAATTCTGTAATTAAATTGGTGTCATTTATTTATTAAATTATAGAGAACCATTATACATATGAGAATACATGCAAAGTACAAATTTTCTTGGTCCAACTTACTCGTCTTTAGTCGAAGCCTTTAGATGGAATTTATGGGGATGATATATTGTTCTCCTAAAGAATAGAATTAAGATTCCGAACTTCTGATAGGATCAAAACCTGCAGATCACCTCCACAGTCATGACCATAAATTCAAATTGTGTTATCCCCTTTTGTAGAAACTATGCAAGAGGAAAAAAGAATAAAAAAGTAAATTTTTTGACAAAGAGAAAAGAAAAAAAAAAGCTATCAACTATTCTAACTATCATTAAAAAGGTTATCTCAGTGAACTTAAAACCCAAGCCCTCATGATTTCTCACTCTCACCACCTGTGGCCAGTCAAACTGTTTAATTTCCAATGGAGTAGTCAATGTTCAAGAACATTTAAGGGCACTTTTAGGAAAGTATTTCTTAAAACTTTATGCTTGAAAACTTCCAACTAGAAAGGATGTTGGTTTTCTATTGTTGATTTCTCTTCTAAGTCATGTCTTTTGAAATTATAGCTTTAATTAACCAGTAAATAGTTTCAAGATCCCTTTCTCCAACCATTTTCAGAATAGATATTGGTACTTCAACTTGTTATCAGATTGAAATAGAACCTAAATCTTGTTGCTACTTGCTATTCTCAAGAAAGAATAGGGAAGAAAAAAAGAAAATAAAAGAATAGAAACAAAAAGGTGTCACTCCTCTTCTTCTCACAACTTCAACTTTATCTAGTACTTCCATACTACTTCTTCAACTAAAAACCATCCAACTTTTTCAGGAACTAATCATATTATCAGTTTGGTGTTATGCAACTGGGAACATGTGAGAAGTATAAGTCTTGTTTACTTTTTCTGTGGCTGATGTGATCAATCAATCTGTGACTTTAACCAATCATCTTTCAGAAAATCTGATGTAACCAAAAAATTCAAGGTCAAATTGAGATAAGCAAAATTTCTCAGAAAAATCAGAAAAAAGGAAGCACGCTTGAGAAAAAAA